GCAGGGGTCGGGGCTGCTGCTGCTCCCGGGTCGGCTGCGCTGCTGGGGGTTAATTTGGAATGATAGCCCCCACTTTCTCAGTTTGGCATTGGAGTGCTGAGATTCCCTGATCCCCTCCAGCACCGGCTGATCCTGGCCGGGCGATGGTGAAGGTGGGAGCAAGCCCGGTGGCTGCAAACCCTCCTCTTCCTCGGCTGTGTGGAGGAGGCAGTGGGGGACCAAGGACACAAACTACCCCCCCCCAGAGCAGTCCCCTCCATCCCACCTCACGGTGCCGGCGGGGTCCCTGGATGAACCTTGGCAAAGCTGCGCCCAGCCCGGTTGTGCCAGGCAATGATCTTCATCTTCCCACGCAGCAGCAGTTGGGGAAACCACTTAATTAAGACTATTTAATCACGATGGTAGCCGGTGCCGTTAAAGCTTCCCAGCCCCATGCCAGGCTGCTTTTATTAAGCTGCCAGCTCACCTGCGCGTCGGGGAGGGTCTGTCAGGCTCTGCAGCTCCCTCCCAGTGATCAGCATGCTCGTGGCGTGCCCACGATTTTCCTAAAGCTCCCTCGGAAAATGATTTATCGCATCGCTATTTCGGCACCGGGGGGCTCCTGGTTGCAGATGCTCGTTCCCCCTTCCTCCCTCCCCTTCAGCATCGCGGCATTTGGACCCCTCTCCGCTCCCCCGCCTGCAATCTGTTGCGTTTTGCTTTCTCCTTGCGCCCGGCGACCCTGAGAGCCCAGCCAAGGATAAACATCCCATTTATGTCACAGCAAAGATTTATACCTGGTGTCTCCGGCGCAAGCCAGATGAGCGCTGAGACCTTTTCCATCACATCCGTGGGTTGGCAATTTATCACCGCGAAGCGGTCTCGGCGCCCCGGCACGCGTGGCTGGGATTTATCCGCTGGGATGGCCGCTGCTGGGTGGATGGGAGTGAGAGGGGAAGGCAGCTGTCACCGTTGTCTTGCTAATAAATGGAAGATGATCAGCAAAAAGAAAATATGATCCCCTTGTCCCGGGGACCGTGGAGCTGTAACGGCGTTAGGGGGTTGATGGGAGCCCCTGGCCTTGGTTTACTGGGCAGCTCTGGTGTCTCCTGGTGTCCCCATGGTTGGCCGTGTCCTTTGGGCTTTCCCGACCACCAAGTGCAGGTTTGATGGTGCAGAGCCCTCCTGCCACCCCGCAGGTGCCGGATGCCTGGCAGGCCCCAGTGCTCTGGGGGGTGATGCTGCAGCTGCCATGCCCATCCTCCTCCTCCTCCTCCTCCTCCTCCTCCTCCTCTTCCTCCTCCAGC